TTGCAATAAAGCAAGTTGTAATTTTTTTGCTGGTGAAGGGTCTTGTTTTCAATTTGTAAAAAACACATCTGTAAAGTGCAATGAAGTGAAGCACAATAAAATGAGGTATGCCTGTATGGCATAAGTGTGGCATTTGCTGGCTATACACTGGGGTCTCCTGGAAATAGAGGCTCTCTCAGGCCCTGAACTTGTGATCCTCCATATTAAGCTAATTATGCCTTGGGCCTTGGAAAGAGGCACCCTATAAACTCATCACAGTCATCAAAACCTTTTTGCTATAATATAGAGCAAAACCTGGGTCCTCTGTTATATTACATTTGTAGGTGGGGATGGCCTTCCCTGTCTTTGGCCCCTTACCAGATGCTATGGGGCTGAGATAGGTACCCTAGGGACATGTCTTGGGGTCAACTGAGTGGAGGGCAGTGGTAGTTTGCATACACAATGAATACATTGCCATAATCATAATTATTGCTGCTTTTCACCCCTTAACCATTATATCTTGGATAAAGTACTGAATCCAAGGTACAATCGTCCAAACTTCAGGCAGTCATCTTAGCACTGGATGCTCTGGCTAATGATTGCACCCCTCTGCAAATTTTAGAACCTAGATCATTGCCAATGGCCTGGTTATCTTGTTTGCCCAATGGCAGCAACATAAATTCCTTATCCAAGATTGTCCCTTTTCAGGTAAAGACTGGGAATCTCATGCCTCACAGATAAGAAAAGAGAAATGATCACATATGCCTCTACATATACTCAAGCTACAATACAGGCCTCATCAAGATAGTTCTTATCCCCTTCAGAGTTCCAGACATTGTTAATTGTGACTAAGGCATTAATTTCACTTCTCAGAATACACAATGCTGGGCAAGTCATTTGATAGAATTATCACCTTCCTTACAGACTTCAGGCTACAGACCTCACAGAGTACCTTAATGGCTTATTAAACCTGTTCAAATTCAATTAAAGAAATATTGTACATTTTAGCCATCAAACACCAGGGATGAATTGTAATAGTCTGTCTCCAGCTTTCTTTTTGATGTTTGACTGCTGACAGTTTTTAAGCTTCTCCTCTAACTCTTCCCCTTTGGCTCTACATCCGGGCAAACTAATAAAAACCCTGAGTGATCTCTCCTTTGGTGCCAGAGGGAGTTTCAAACCATTCAAGCCTCTGACTGTGCATTGCAACCCCACCCTTAATCACAATAAAAATCCAATCCAGTTTCTTTTTCTTGCTCTCTCAGGATTTTTAAAACAGCTTTGGAAGCCTGTCCTGCTCTCCCCATAAAGCCTTGTTATGTGAGCAATAAATCTTTGACTATCCTCTTGGTGTGTAAATGGCATCAGTCTTAACATCTGAACAAAATTTTGGATGAGGTCTATTGCGTATCTTCAGAGTGGCCACAACCAGTAGCCTGTGTTTACAGAAATAATTTCTAGCTGGGTATGTAACAGGAAAGTGGAGTTGTAGGAAAATGGCTCCTTCATGATGGCCTGGGGCCCTTGCAGGTGTCCATATGAGCTGGAACTACAGTTAAGCTGAGTCTTGGTTAAATGCCTTGTGATATTCCAGGACATAAGAATATGGCAGGCTGTAAGGAGTTGCTACAAAGGCCATCTCCCCTACACCTCTATATCACCCCTGAGATGTTGTCATGAGACAGTTTCTCATCACCTACCAGTTTCTGATGGGGCTTTCTGTCCTGTATCCCCTAGAATAGAGCTGTAGCATATAAAGTCACTCAACTGTAGTCTAGATTTGGCTCCTCAGTAATGGAGTATCCCCAAACTTGTGTTTCAGTCATATGGACCCTTTTGTTTCTATGTTGTCTTTTAGGGTGTGTGGGAAAAGGACCTGGGGAGCTGGTACCTTTGGCTCATTGTTCTTTGTACTGTGTATATAAGTAATAAACTGTTTAAATCTAAAAGTAGCTCATTGTATCTTCACGAGTTGAATCAGTCAGGTCTTGTCCTTGCTTTGTTTTCTTTTTTTAAAATATTTTATTTATTTATCTTTAGAGGGGAAGGGAAGGAGATAGGGAGAGAAATATCAATGTATGGTTGCCTCTGCTGTGTCCCCTGCTGGGAACTGGCCTGCAACCCATGTGCCCTGACTGGGAATCGAACCTCGATACTCTGGTTCGCAGGCCCATGCTCAATCCACTGAGCTACACCAGCCAGGGCACTTGCTTTGTTTTCTATGTGTGAATTTATTACCATATAATCCTGATTGCTATCTCTTTTACCCATAAAATAAAATGATATAATTAGCATACTTGTATTTATTCAACAGTTCTTAAACTGAATAAATACCATATCTTTCAGTCATTTGTATTTGGGAAGCCTTCAGTGAATTTTCAATTGAAGCTGTGGTACTAGTTCAGCACCTGAGAAAATACCTTATAGTACTTTATGAAGCTAAGAAGTAAGGAATAATTGGTACGGAAAGATTCTAAAAAATGTGAACATGAAGTATACACAAAATATTCTTCCCAATAGAGAGAAATTTGAGTTCAGACCACAGTCTTACAGTGTCTCACTTTCCAGTACTTGAATACCTGGTAAAATAATGGCAATGTATTTTTGACAAGTAGGAGTTGACAATTATTTATATGTGAGTACCTATGGGGTACCATGTTCCAAGCTCCATGCTAGCCTGGGTCCCCATGCCATGGGACTTCAGAGTCCAGATGGTAGAGACACTCAGGCTAGTAAGTATAATGTAATTTTCATAAGACTACAAAATAAAGCACTGGGGCACCTGGGAACACAATAGTATACCACACCCTAGAAGATGGAGAAAGGCTTCTCAGAAGCAGTGTTGTTTACAAAGGTAGGGACTCTAATTATCCCCATTTTACAGAAAAGAAAATTGAAGATTAGAGAAGTAACTTGGCAGAGGTCACACAGGTATTAGATGGTCAACACAGTTTTGAGCCATGGCTTGTTTGACTCTAACCACTATTTAACTTACAGCCACCACCTACAGTTCTATTCACCTGGCCTTGTTTGCTTTCAAAATTTAAAAAAAATCTGCTAAACTTATTATAAAGTCAGGTTAAAAACAACTTGTAGGAAAAAGATTAATGATTTTTTTCTGGATTTTTTCTGTTCATTGTAATACAGGAACCTTGGAAGTGAAATCTCTGTCCATATGTGGGGAGTAAAGGGCTCTGAGGCTAACCTTTCATCTTCCCTTTTCCAGGAAACAACTGTTTCTGGGGAACTGCTTGCTCTTGGGATTGGGACACAGTTTGAAAGCAGCAGTGGAATGGGCAGCTTCAGTTTCACAGCCTTTCATACTTATGAAGATGTTCATCTTCCCTGGAAGGGTCTTCCAATGTTATTCTTTGGGCCTGCTCCTTCTTGACCCATGAAAAATGTCAGGGAAGCCCCCATGTCTGTTGATTTCAGCACAATTTCATTGACTCTGACCTAGTAGGTTTTGGCCTTTACAGAATTCCAAGTAAAGTCCAAAACTTGAGGAATATCTGCAGTCTGAAAAACAAAATGGTTCAGTACAGTCAAGAATGTTGACTACTTACTTTCCTGTTTCACCTACCTTCAAACATAACTTCAAAATTACATGAATGTGCAACTAACAAGTCTGCAGCTACTATTCCCCTAAAAAAGTATTAAAAATGGCATTTTGTAGATTTTTATAAAATTCCATATCTTGTTCCCTGGAGACTCCACTTCTTTAATTTTTCATATTTGTATGAACTGAACTATAAGTGCCAAAAATCCTGCTTAACAGAACATGAGAATCTATTCCCATTTTTAATAGATATAAGTAAGAATTTACCTCTTCCTATTTCAATGAGCCAAATTAAGAGGAAAGAAAACCTTCTCATTGGTCTGTAGCAAGGGAAACTCTAGCCATTCCAGGGTATGCTTCCTCTCTCTTTTTATACATTTGACGTTGGCCCAGAAGTGGCACCCCAGAACCAACATTTTCTTAAAAAATCTAAAAATGTTTGTCTTCTTTTTTCTCTATACCTTATATATTAGCTTTAATAAGAGGGCTGATATCTTTTTAATTAACTTTTTATTATGGAAAATGTCAAACATACAAAAGTAGAGAGAAACATATATAATGAACCATCATTTAACCATCACCCAGTTTCAACAATTATCGAGACCAATTTGTTTCATCAATATCTGCAATGCATTTAACATCCAGACTTATTATTGTGAAGCAAATTCCAGACATCATTTCAACTGTAAATGTTTGAGAATGTATCTGTAAAAGATGATAAATGTTTTTAATGTAACTATAATACCATGATCCCAACTAATATCAAATATCAAGCCAACTTTCAAATTATCTGGGTTGTCTTATAAATGTATTTTATAGTTTGGTCAAATCGGTGTCTAAAAAAATCCATGTTACAACTGTTTCATATGTCTCTTAAGTCTCTTTTAATCTATAGGTTCATCCTCCCATTTCTTTCTTTCATCCAGGCCATTCATTTACTGAAGAAACTGGGTCATCTGTCCTGTAAAGTTTTCTGCAGTCTGGATTCTGCTGATATCATCTCTCTGGTGTATGTTTCTCTGTTCCCTGTATTTTCTATAGATTATGAATTATGTCTAGAGGCATGGTCAGATTTAAGACCAAAATTTTGGCAAAAATATTTCATAGGTGGTATAGTGTACTACCATCAGGAGGCACATAATGTCCCAGCTGACACAGACATATGAGTAAGAATTTTTGCTAATATCTCACAGATGCCTTGAAACATTTGATACCTGATATACAAAAGCCACATGTATGTTAGATGTTAGATAAAAGGCATTTATTGTACTAACACTGGATTAGAAAGTCAATACTTTACCATTCAGTGTCGCTACAAAATATTAGTTATTTAGATGAATCTTCAGTGATATCTACCATATTTCAAGTGATGCCTTAAATACTAGATATATAAAAGACTAAGGAAACAAGGTCCTTTCACTCAAGGTCATATAAGTTGGTGGGAAATATAACCACATAATCATAAAAGCACAAAAAAGGCCATAAGTGCCAAATTAGAAGTCTGTAGATAGAGCGGTAGTGCAACAACTTGGAGAATTGTCATTGCAATAAACAGGGAAGAAGTGTCCAATAGCATAGGATGAGCTGTGTTCTTGACAGTATGAAAGAGCTCAACCGTGCTTCATAATTCCATTCATCATTGGGTTCATATACTTGATTCTTTCAAAGTAAATCTGAAAAAAAAAGGCTCATTAATAGTTTTATTGTTTCATCCATTTCTCTAGTCGGCAAGTAGGGTCTACTATGGTTTATTAGTCACTTTTTATTGGAAAAACCTTTAGATAATTATCCAATGCAGTTCTGCTGTGAGGCCAGATGAGAGCCTGAGGGAGTAATAGATTGGTCCAGCTAACAAATGAAGCTAAGAAATCAAGATTACACTAGTAGACATTTCTAAACTCTGGATCAGAGACAAATGTCTCCAAATTTTAGCACTGTTTTAGCCTATGAGGATATGGGCAGGAATCAGGCTAGGTCCTAGTCCTCAAAAACTTCACAGTCTAACAGACTAATAGTCATTCAGAAAGATGGTCACAATACTAGAATGATGCTGAAAATATTTCCTGTTTTACTTGGTGCTTCCACAAAAGGAACCCTGGAAAAGAAAACTCTGGCCAGATGTTAGTACAGTAGTCTCTAAAGCCACACTTTCATCTCCCTTTTCCCACTAAGCAACTATTAATGAAGGAATTGCTCCTTCTTACAACTGGATTCCACTGTACAGGAAATGAGGGGAGCAGTTTCAGCTTCAGAGCCCTTTAAACCATCTCCCACAAGGTCCTTCTAACGTTGCTGTTATTATACTTCATGAGCTGCCTGTTCCTGCTCTTACACACACACACACACACACACACACACACCCCAATATTTATTAGATGTTTCTAAATATAAAATTGTTGAAATGTTTACTATTTTATTAAATGAAAATTTATTCCAACATGTCTTCTTAAAACTTATTTTAAAGATAAGAAGAGGCACTTGTACAGTTGGGGAAAATACCTTTATAAAAACATGCTGAAAACAAATTTCTAACTCATGACTCAAAGTGTTAATTACCTTAGATCAATGCACTGTTTTCTGGAAAGGGTATAAGCTGAAATATTCACCTGTACATTTTTAGTACAATCACCACATAAGTAATGCATGGGTGCTATGTAATGACTCTTGAACAGAAAATTCCAACTGTATATTAAACTCTTGCAGGGTGGAGGTTATAGATGCCACTGCATTTGTCAGCCTCTGTGTCAACTGTTTTAGTCTGATTTTTTATTTCTATTTCAAAATAAAAGACTAGTTTTTTCCATTTAATATTTTTAGACTGAACTCTAGAAGCATATATACTAAGAACTGCCCATGAGTTTGAAAATATAACTTACAATATAATAATTGTAAAGTATTCTGTTGCAATTTAGAAATGAAAGCCTTGGAAGCTTTACAAATTGTGTATTTGAAGATATTTGGGCAATCCAAATATTTCTGAATAAAATACAACAAATACTTACAGGCTAACAACTCTTAAGAACTGATTGACATTAACTTTCACATTTGTCAGATACATAGCACAGAAGTCAAAACACAGGATTGTGCATTACTATCTCTAAGAATGCCATGCACAAATTAAACCTCCAAAATATTTTGTGGCAGCATTTAGATTAAGTTTTATGTAGGGAACAGTCACAAAGCAATAATTCATTTTCTGTGCAGTTAGTGTATATGTACTTTGAAAAATCTGAGGTTACTGAGAATACCTACTAGTTCACTTGGATTGTTGGAATAAGAAAGGTCAAGTCTTAGATAGTTTGTTTTTTAAAAATAAGATTTTTTTGTACAAAGGAACAGATAATTTTTAAAAAACATTTCATAAGTCTGCATAATTTAGAATATGAAATTTATAATTGACTTTCCAAAGGTATCAATTTTTTACACTCCTCACTCCTTTGAAAACATTTATTGTTAACTATAATATATGCTTTATTTAGATGTTTATATATGGCAAAAATCTTATTTTAAAAACAAATTTTAAAAATTCAATTCTACCAGGGAGTTACAGGTTATGAAACAAAAAAGTTAGGAAAGAACTGATACCAGTTTTGCAAAGGGGTGGGGGGGCTGAGCCATCAGAGAAAAAAATATCCAAATTCCATGTTGTAAATTCTAGCCTTTTGGAAATAATTCAGGCTTCTTCCCACCCATCAAAGACTTAGAGGTCTAATGGCCACAAGGCCATGCAAAGAGGTAAGTACAACACATTGTGAGAACCGTGACACACACAGAAGAGAGTATCTTAACCCAGGTGGTCAGGAAAGGCTTCTCATAGAAGTTTATGAAGTATGTATTTTTATTATCTCCAATTTCATATTTTAAAAACCTGAGCATCAGATAAGTTAGATAACTTGGCTGAAGAAAGACAGTAAGGTAGAAATGAAACTAGTTTTCATCCCAGTTTGTCTGACTTCAAAGCCCCAATATAGTTTCTATCACACCAAACTCTATCTCATGAAAAAGTCATTTTACTTTACTTTTCCACTTCTCAGAGTGCTGTTTGCCTGTGAACATCTAAAATGTGTAACTACAGTATTAACAGTTTATTGGGAGATGTGCCCGGGGAATAAACATAGTTCCCGAAGAGACTTAAGTATTTTAGATGGGAGTCCTGATGACAAGCAAGGACCAAGGTAAATTAAACAAAAGATTGTCGTGCGAGAAAAAACCTTTAAGAGAGAATATTCACGTGTCCTGAAACTTTGAAAGTCTGTGACAGCTGGACATCAAGAAAGGTACCTCACTCAATTGGGATGTCGTCATCACTGTAGAGATCCCATTCTTGTGGTTACTGGTTGTCAGGAAATTTATCTGGAACGTTGCTAAATTCAAATACATGAAATAACTTTCTTTCAAAAACTAGTTTTTGTTGAGAAAACCACGGTTCTTCTAAGGGTACTGAGAAAGGGGCAACGAGTGTTGGAATTTGAGCATGCTTCATCATACTCTATGAATAGTTTTCCTGATAAGATTTATGGGTGTGCTTGTCTAACAACACCTTCCTGAGAAATGTCTGCTCCATAAAGTAATACCGTGTGAAACTACATTTGGGCTACATGGGGAATGGTCGTTTCAAGCAAGCACTCAAAACTTACCAGTGTGAACCGTTTTTGCAAATCAAATTATGTACACATGAATAAAGAAATTTCTGCAAAGGGCAAGTCAGACCACATTTCTAAAGATAAAAATATTGCCGAGCCCAGCAAGAGCCCAACATGTCAAATTTCTTAAATCATTTTTTGAAACCCAAACCTGATCACTGCAATCAATTGGCACCACAAGCATGGTTTGCTGACAAGGGCCAATGCTGTGACTGAGGAAACAACTTGAGAAAGAAAATTAGGGGCAGGTGTCAGACAACCGAGGTGATGGGATTTTAAATGCCTTCGCTACAAAACCACAAGACTGGTACCAAAAATGCGAATGCGCACACGCACAAGCACACACAAGCAAAACACACACCCCAAGGGCTGGGAGAGCAGCGAAGGCACCCTTAAAGAAAACCCAAGTGGTTTAGGCATTCTGAACTATGTTAAACAGCGCTACGAAGAAGCGATTCTCAAAGCATCTGAAAAACGTGCAAATTGTCTGAAGACAGTGCCTGGCAACTGAGACAGTTTGCAAGCGTGATTCAGAGGTCTGCCAAGGAAACAAAAGGAGCCCCCCTCCCCCGGGAAGCCCGCACAGGACGCTGGAGGCGCGCGGACGCTAGGTGTTCTAGGACAGGCGGGAAGCAGAGGGGTCTGTGCAGGAGCGGTACATACTAGGGGTCGCTCCCGGGCACGGACGGGGCCACGGAGTTTCCATTGGTGGGGGAACCGCCCTGCTTTAGTTTCTCCAGGTATTCGGCATGCACAGGCTTGTGGCACTGGAGGACCTTGATGGCATCGTCGACTTTGAACCACTCTCGCTTCCTCCCAATGCTCACCGAATCTTCCCAATCCTCCAGAATCTCAGTGACGGTCAGGACGTACACGTAGGTCCTGTGCTTGCGATCTTGGTTCTGCTCGAAGACGCCCAGGAGCCGGCCTAACTTCCCCTTGACTCCCGCCTCCTCATACACCTCACGGACCGCCGCGCCGCTCGGCTCTTCCTCGGGCTCCATGCCCCCGCCCGGCACGATCCAGCGGTCCGGGTAGCGGCTGCTACTCACTAGCAGCACCTCGTCCTCGCGCTCGCTTCGGAAGCACAGGCATGCCGCCCGCTTCTTGAAGCCGTCCGGGTCGTAGGTGCGCGTCTGGTTCGGTTTGCACTTCATCCTCCAGGCCGCCTGCTCCTGCGCTAGCTGCTGCTCGGGTCGCCGCTGCTGGACGAGTTGCAGCGGAGAGAAAGGGCCGCTGCGAGGGGCGGAGAGAGAGAGACGCCTCAGTCCGCGAGCCACAGGCTTAAGACAAGATGAGGCGGGGGCGAGGTCGGGGCGGGGGCGGGAATGTCAGTCAGTCCGCCCCCCGTGCCGGAGTCCAGAGCACAGAAGTCTGGGTGGCGGTGGCGCTGTGGCTGAGGACGCCACAGCCGTCTCCCGGTAGCACCACTCTGCACGCAGCTCCTGTGGGAGTCGCCCCCTCCTCAGACGCCCCCTAGGTGTAGTGGGAGGTTGAGCTTCCTTTCCATGCGCGTGCGCGTCCCTTTCCACGTGCGCGTGCCCCCGTAAGGCAAGGGGCAGGGGCGGGGGTCTCTCAGCTCCCGCACGCAGGGCGCCTTAGGCGCACTGCGCAGGCGCCCCGCACATCTCGGACTGGGAATCTCCTTCACGCGAAGTTAAATTCACCGCATTGTGACTTGAGCCAGCACTGCTTCCACGTGTGCCTTGGCGCTAAACGTGGATGTGGCGTCACGGCACGTTTCCCCTCACTGCCCACCGGGTTAACGAAACACACAGGCATGCATTCTCCACACAGTAGGGTCCAGTGCATCTTCATCAGCGCCCATAATTAATGGGACCCGCTTATTTACTCCAAGGCCGCGTTTGTCAAAATGATCCTGGGTGTTATTGAGTCAAAGTCTTACCTAATCTTCGCTGAGTCATATCGGGAAATTTTATTTCTTCAACAGATTCTTCAACTTGCCAGGCATCTTGGTACAGCCCATAACTTAACACTTTTCTTCAACCCCTATTGACATCTTACCTCCCCTTGTTTCTCAGTTCCTTCATCGGTAAGCCCTTTGCCTACTTGCATTTCAGTCTTATTCACCCAACAGGTGGAGAACTACCTAAAGCAGTGTTTTACAAACTCCCAAGAATCTCCATCCTCCAACGCAATGCACACAATCCACGCTTCTCTCTCTGTCATTGGTAGGTCTCTTTGGGGTTTGGAAAACATGCCTATGGAAATCCCTTCCAATTCTACATGTTGATTTTTAGAAGCTTCCTGGCCTGGGACTGCAGCAAGGCCACCTGGTGCTTTCCCACCTCTCTGGTCATCCTGTCCCTTAGGTCAAGCAGTCCCGCCCCGCCCACAGCCCAAACTTCAACAACCTAAAGCTTTCCCTCTCTTTTTTAAAGTTTTGTCTCATGTTTCTGCTCTCACAGTACTAGTAGCCTTATGGAGAAGATTTTTGATGTCCCTAAACCTTTGCTGTATCGCAAAACTTAGGTATCTTTGTCCCTCTCTCACCAACAGACACTCCACTGGCACCAGGCAAGCAGGGTCACCAAAACTCACTCCTCCAATGAAAGGATTCCTTCAAGTGGAAATCCACTGAGATGTAAGTGGAAAGGAGTTATGAAACATAGAGTCCAATTTTTTAATCACAAGTTGGTTCAGCTTCCCAGGGTCTGCTCCACCTCATTTATATCCAGAATAGCTCATAAAAATGATCCAGCTCTCAACAGCAACAGGCATCTGCAATATCTAGAGCATAGTATGATAAAAGTGTATGTGTGGTATCTGAAGACAATGATTAAATGGAGACATAGAGAGAATGACTTCGGCCAGTAAAGACAGTACTGCTACTGACCTTATTTTAGTGATGGATGGGTGATCAAGAGCATATGAAGGAAGAAAACACCCCATGATTAAAAACCATTGAGGAAAATAGATTTTCGCAGGCTGCATTTCTCAGTGTGCCCATACTAACAAATACACAAGTGCTGCTAAACCACTAGAAAAAAAGCAATTACACTCAGGGTCTAGGCAAATATACCTATTATCACCAATATCATTAAATATTGTTTTAGGTGTTCTTTCCAGTGTAATGAGATTGTAAAGAGGAAAAAGTCTATCGTTTTGGTAAAGAAAACAAAATTGTCATTACTTGCAGATGGTATGGATATGTTCTTGGGGAACAGGTAAGAAACGGTGTAAACATAAAGTTCCCTTACATTGTGAAATGAAATACTAATATCTAAAATACCAAGAGCTTTCATGTGTGCCAACAATAGTCATGTGTAATATTAGAAAGGGGCAATGGCATTCACAGTAGCAGTATCGACCACCCCAAAAGAAATTGTACCAAGGGAGCCTACAAATATGGTTAGGACACTGTAGTAGAGAATGATAAACTTGTACTCGGCTTAGAACGATGATTGAATAAAGCAGAAGGAACTCCAGTTAAGGTGGGAGACGGGGCTGATGTCTGGGCAGAGGAGTGTCCCACCCAAGCCCCAGCCACATCACAAGTCTACTTCACAATTACAGGGTACTATCTCCCTGTCTCTCACCAGAGGGGCCATTGTCTAGTTTGTTCCATCACTTCTACATCAGATTATGCCTCTGCAATATGCCTCTGCTGGAGCCATGTTTAGTGGAGGAGAGAGGAATAGCAACATTCTGACTTGGAAAGGGGTGTGGGCTGGGTTCATACTAGCAAAGACATACATAGCATGTTACTGGATGAAGGGATCCATGACTTGCAGGTTTAGTACAATGTCAAGGAAAATTTGAAATTAGTTTTCTACCCCCAGAATGCCACCCAATAATTTTTCATTCACCTAGTAGGGTAATAGGGCAAGATAGTTAAAATCTTTTAAACAGGATTTTACTTATTCATTTTTAGAGAGAGGGGAAGGGAGGGAGAAAGAGAAGGAGAGAAACATCAATATGTGGTTGCCTCACGTGTGCCCCCCATGAGGCCTCTGGCCCACAACCCAGGCCTGTGCCCTGACTGTGCGTTAAACCAGCGACCCTTTGCTTTGCAGTCCAGCACTCAACCCACTGGGCCACACCAGCCAGGACAATTATGACTATTTCTAAAGAAGGGTCAAGATTTTGGGGGGAGACTAGCAAAAGCTACTGGAGGGAAAGCCAGCCGTTTTGTCCACAGTTAAGTATTTGTCCAGTGATGAGCAAGGTCATTTGATGAAACATTGTAATAGTAGCCTGCTACAGTAACAACTTCAGTTTGCACATGCCTGCTGGTATCTCCTCCCACGTTGTCCTTGGCCTTGGAGATGGAACTTCCTTTGTCCAGAGGGACGATAGCAAGCATGAAGCAAAGAATTGAAAAGTGGTTGTGCACTGAAGTTTGACCTCTCTTGCTGCTCTTCGAGCAAGATGAGAACAATATGAAGAAGCCTGGCCTGGGTGGATGATGAGAGACCCATGGCTCATGCGTGCCCTTCTCCCCAGCTGACAGGGAACCAAATGCCAGAAATGTGGGTGAGACCACCCTGGATCATGAGCCACCCCCAGAAGAGCCCCTAGCAGACAGGCCATTGAGCACAGAAGCCTAAGTAAGCCTTCTGAGAACAGCAGAAGGACCACTCAGCTGAGCCCAGCTGAAATTGTTGAGCTGCAAAGTTGTGAGGGCAAGAATTGGTTGTTCTTTAAAGTTACTAAGTTAGGGTGGTTTGTTATGCATCAAAAGCAAGCTGACACAACCATTAACTACCATCCATCAATATCCAACTAGAGATAAGGAGAGAAAATATTTTTCACAGTAGAAATCTCACCGCTTGAAGAGGTGGACATTGAGTTTTCGCTGGAGTGAGGAGGGGGATGAGGTTAAGATAGGCAATACTTGCTGTGTACAGTCTATGTGCCAGGCTGTGTGTTGAGCCCTGTATCCGTTTTCACTGACAGACCATTGAATCCATTTCGTAGAAGAGAAGGCTCAGAGTGGAGTTTACATTTGAATTCTAGTCTTTGCATCTCTCTAGCTTGTGCATTCACAATATCATCATGTCTTGCCAGAAAGGATTCTTTTCATCAAGAGCTACACTGTGTGTGTGTGTGTGTGTGTGTGTGTGTGTGGCATTTGTTGATGACATTCAGAGTTGACTATTTAGGTAAGCTGTTTATTTGTTCAGAGTCTCTGAGTTCAAAGAAACTTATGTTTTCATCTGGATGTTCTTGCACAATAGAGTGAAAAGAACACCTGAGTGCCTATCTCACTCCCATTCATTAAGTGCATCACCTTAACACGTTACTTAAGTCCATGTTTAATTCCCCCTGCAAGTGTCACATGGAATTAAGTGACACGGAAAAGAAGATACTGTGTTTTGTCAGCACTCCCAGCATTGATTTTGATTTACTGATGGTCTGCTTTATTCTCCACATTCAATATTTATTTACCAAGAAACATGAGAAATGAATAAATGAGCATCAAGATCCCCCTTAAGCAGAGTAGGAGAACAGGCTGAGATGGGTTTAAGTATGTAAGCCAGTAAGCGATGGAGCTGAGATTAACACCTTGGTCTGCCTGACTCCAAAGGTCCTCCCCTTCCCTTCATCATGACAAATGTCACCTGTGTTGAGAGTTGCTCAGATGCAGAGTGCATGTCATTGCGTTGCTACAGACTTCCTCCTCTCCCATTTTTTTCTACCTAGAATATCCAGGCGCCCAAGGGAACAGAGTTTCTACGTTGTGAGTAATGGCACAGATGTGCAGTGAGGGGTGTGAACACAACGATGGGGAAATATCTGGTCCAGCCGAGTGTTTCCACTCTCTCAAAGAGGCAGCAGTTGTTGATGCCTGTGGCTTCTTTGGTCACTACCTCAGGCTCCCTGGCTGCAGGGCACTCCTTTTCACTGATACTGCTTCCTGTGTAGGCTTCTAATTCAGCTCCTTTCCAGTGTCCCCCACCCCCATTCCTGCATCAGAGTCCAGTGCTGAATCCACACACAGCCCTTTTAGGCCCTACAAGATCTGGGCCCTGTTTCCTCTTAGAGTTTTTTAAAAATGTATTTATTTATTTTTAGAGAGAGGGCAAAGGAGAGAGAAGGAGAGGGAGAGAAATAGGACTGTGTGGTTGTCTCTCGCACACCCCCAACTGGAGACCTGGCCCACAACCCAGGCATGTGCCCTGACTGGGAATTGCACTGGCGACCCTGTGGTTTGCAGGCTGGCACTCACTCCACTGAGCCACACCAGCCAGGGCTCCTCTTAGACTTTATCACTATGATTCTCCGCTTCAGTTGCTCATCCC